CATCACACTCGCACTCACACACATCACACTCACACACACATCACACTCACACTCACACACACATCACACTCACAAACACATCACACTCACACACACAGATACAGGAATAAGGAAACGAATAAGCACTTTTTTTTAAAAGAAGAGAAAGGGACTCTTACGAAGGCAGCAAGCCTGGCCCTTCCCTTCCCCTTTGCTGTGGGCCTGAGATCAGTCTCCTGCTTGTTCCTACACACACCCCAACCATTTTGCTCTCTCCCTTAGGTGACACAGCTAAGGGGCTGCCCTTATCACAGAGTCTCTTCTGTGACACTTAAATTCTTGACCTTCCAGAACTGTGCACTAAACCAATCCCTTTTCTTACAAAGTTAGCCCCCTCGGGTATTTCGTTGCAGCAACACCGACTAATGCAGACATGAGTGACTCCTCTGGCCTCTGGGTTTCAGGTTTTCCACACTAACTCCAACTAAACTTTACCTAGAATCATTACCTCTGCGTCAGCCCTGGCCTTCCAGCACCCAGCTTGGCTTGCACGTGCCCGGGACCGGAAGTTCACTTTAGTTCACCAATGTTCTTCCTTCTACTCGGTTTCTATGCTCACTTCTGCTCTCTACACGGGTGTAAAACAAGCCTAGTTCCACTTCCAGGAAAATTAGGACACATGTATGACATGAGTCAGGTGTAAGCCATACTCCAGACAGTCCAGGCCCTTCACTGTTCCGAACCCTGTGAAAAGAGATGGAGAAGCACACAGCTTGGGGATCCAGGAGGGCTTCCAGGAGGCAACAGTCTGAGTTTCGAGACTATTGGTTGTCCAGCCTCATGCCAAGGAGCAAGAAAGCAAGACGTTGTTGCGGTGCAGCTGTGTGCAGACAGCTACAGCTGAGGGGCTGGGGTGTGGCTCAGCTGTGGAGAGCAGAAGGCCTTGGGTTCAATCCCCACCATTGCGCAAGCTGGCTGACTGAGGTGGTGCACCTGGAGGTGGAGGCGGGAAGATTGGAAATTCAAAGACATCTTTGGCTGCACAGTGAATTCGAGGCCAGCCTGGGATACTTGAAATTGTGTTTCAAAAACAAAACAACCACCACAAATGTGGAGACGGTGGAGCCGGGCTGCCGAGGCGCAGGGTCTGGCTAAGGAGGGTGGACTTCAGCCACTGGCGCAAGCTGCCTTGCCTGAGTGCATATGGCTCCTATGGGGTTGCTGTTTGTCTGAACTCCAGGTTTTCATTCACTAGGTCAAGGTGTACCCCAGAATTCCTCTGGTTTAAACCAGATGCCCCAGGAGAAGAGGAAGTAGGGTGCCTACTCAGAAATTGGAAGAAGACAGAGTTTTTGTCTCAATTAACAAGTAGTTATGATGAACAAAGACCATCAATTATTATTATTATTATTTTCAAGACAGGGTCTCTCTACTTGGCTAGCCCTGGCTGCCCTGGAACTCACAGAGACCCACCTGCCTTCTGAGTGCTGGAATTAAAGGTGTCTGCCACTATGCCTGACTTGATCATCAACTATTTTTGTTGTTTTTTTCAAGACAGTGTTTCCCTGTGAAGCCTCGGCTGTCCTGGAACTTTCTCTGTAAACCAGGCTGACCTCAAACTCAGAGTTTTGCCCACCTCTGACTCCCGAGTGCTGGGATTAAAGGCGTGCACCACCACTGCCCAGCTGTCATCAACTGTCATCCAAATATGATGTGCACCTTTATCCCAGTACTTAGGAGGTAGAAGCAGGAGTCCTATGTGAGTTTGAGCTCAGCCTGTCTATCTAGCGAGTGTTCTAGGACAGTCAGGACTATGTCAGGAGACCCTTTTTCAAACAAACAAACAAAATATTAAAAAATTACTTTTAAAAATTTGCAAATAAAAACATCACACATCACTTCAAGGTGGTGGCACATGCCTTTGATCCCAGCAATCAGGAGGCAGAGGCAGGCAGATCTCTGAGTTTGAAGTGAGTAAGTTCTAGGACAGCCAGAGCTACACAGAGAAACCCTTTCTCAGAAAAAAAAAAAAGGGAAAGAAAAAAAGAAAAAAAAAATTAACCAGAATCAAAATCTATCTAATTCAGTGAATTTCTGTGCAGTGAGACTGGCATTTAGAATGGTGCTGATGGGCGGTGGTGGCCTTTAATCCCAGCACTCGGGAGGCGGAGGCAGCAGGATCTCTGTGAGTTCGAGGCCAGCCTGGTCTACAAGAGCTAGTTCCAGCACAGGCCCCAAAACTACAGAGCAACCCTGTCTCGGAAAAAGTAAGAAACGAAAAAGCAGAAAAATTAAAAATAGAACGGCACCAATGAGCTTCACGTTAAAGTTTACACTTTTGATGTTGAATGTATCTTATGCATTTATCTACCAGCAAAAATAAAAGCCATGAGAGAATTAGAACTGGAAAAGCAATTAGCTTTAGATTATCTTTCATAACTCATGTCCATCCCCTGCATCCAGTTCTCCTTCCAGTTATTCTTAGTATTTCAAGAACATGTGGCCTACTTAGGAGTCTTTGGCCGTGAGGATATTAATATTGGTCTGCTGGCATTAAATGACCAAACACATGCTTTAAGATGCCAGAGTGGCAATTCTGGGTCCTGTCCCTTCATTATTATTATTATTATTATTATTGTTATTGTTATTATTATTATGCTCAGAGCCCAATGAAAGCAGAATTGATTTATCTACTGTAAGCTTGAGCCATATCGGTTGCAGCAGACTGGGGTGGGGGTGGGGAGCCTCGTTAAACCCCTGCGAACCACACGGAGCCTTATGTACCGAGAAGGAGCCTAGGTCTGATTTGTCTTGGTGGGGGAAGCTATCATCTCAGCAAGTAGCCACTGAAGGCCTGGAATGGGCCCAGCCTCCTTCGGGTCTCAGGGTAGAACCAAAGCCCGGCTCTCCCCAAGAACTCAGTCGTGTGAGGAGCAGAGACTGTAAATACAGAGAGCTCGCTCGGCTCGGCTTAGCTCGGCACGTCATCGGTGCTGTGATGGATGGACGCTACGTGAGCGAGCCGACTCAGGGGCGACCCCACTGGAGGAACGAGCAGCCTTCCAGCCTAGGAGATGAAAGAGAAAGGGGTTCCAGGGAAGAATCCAGCACAGGCAACCCGGGTATTTTTATTATTGCTTTCTCATTTCATTCATAATAACCGACAAATGAAAAATGTATATACTCAAGGTGAAAAATGTGTTGTATGTACACATTATACACCGATGATCAGGAGTTAATGAACACCCCCACCCCCACAGTTAACGCGCGTGCCGACCGTCTTTTGTTGTGGGGTGATAGTGCCGGGACTACAGGCAGCTCCCTGATGCAGGAGCCCAAGATGGAGCTAAATACGGCGTCAGGAATTGGCATGGGGGTGGGGAGACATATGCTGGGCAAGGGATTGTCTTCCCCACTTAAACAGTAGGGAGGCCTGGTCCATAAACTGAAATACAATCGGCACTCCTCGGGCCTGTGCAGGGGCAACAGCTGGGAATAGTTTCCACTCGAGACCCCAGCAGGTGCAGTTCCCAGGGGCTGTGTTTCGGCAAGAGAGAGAGGAGAGGACCGTGGGGCCCCAAGTCCCCTGCCCCAGGCCCACCTCTTGCAGCTGCTCTGAGCCATCAAACCCCCCTGGAAAGCCTCCTCCCTTGTGTCTCTGATAGTAAAACGACAGCCTGTTTTAAAAGCTAGACTCCCACAGAAGCTGACAATGCCTCGTGGCAAGAAACAAGGCTCTAACTGTAGAAGCTGCTTTTAAAGTCCCGCATTCCATGATAAAGGCTATTACTTAATCCTTCCAAGGACCTCTTAGAGGGTTTTCTTATCTCCACCTGAACACAGAAGGTTGGGTAACTTGTCCGAGGCCAGAGTCATTAAATGCCGAACAAAGAGTGGAAAACAGCACGTGCCCTTTGGACCTAAAAACTGGTATCTGGATTCCACAACCACCACAAACCACGAGGTGGACTTCAAAGGGGGAAGATCCATGCAGCAAAACAGCTTGGCAGCCAAAGCTTTCTAACAATGTAGGGTTTTTATCAACACTATCAGTATTAGTATGTATGGGCGCCTGCATGCTACACACACACACCGGGAGAGAGGAGGTTGTTTATGGGGGTGCTGGGGACTGAAGGTCCATCGTCAGGTTTGGGTGGCAAGCACCCTTACCCACAGAGTCGTCTCAGCCCCTAAAACAATTATTTATTTTTCTCACTCTTGGTGCCCTAAACTGTTTAGTCTGTCTCGCTAATCCAGAATGGCGCACACCTGCAAGACACAGCGTCCAGGCGCTTTTTCCACCCCGCTGGCTTTACAAAAAATGTCAGAAAACACACCAAAAATGTAACTTATTTTTAAATATATTTATCTTAAAAACCAGCAAACAGCTGTTTCTTGTTCCAGCCCCTTCACACAAGCCTCAAATCACTATGAATGACTCCCACTGTCCTTGGAATTGCCCGAGTTAAAATTTATGTCTCTCTTTAAATTCATGCCTGACTGGACTCCGCGTTTTGCCTATCCTGTTGCCTGGGTCTCTTTCCCGCCCTCCCTTGCCTCACGTTCCTTAGCGCAGGCCCCACACTATCCATGTGTCCCACACTGGTTTTTTTTTCTCTTGAGACAGAGCCTCATTATGCAGCCCAGGCTGGTTTGGAATTCAGTCATCTTGCCTGGATCTCCCCAGTGCAGGGATTATGCGTCTACAGCACATCTGGCTGAAAATGTAACATTTTGACAGCTAACCTTCTCTATTGTTCCCAGCTCTATCTCAGGATGTGACCTAATGACACAGGTGCCTCAGGTCCTGGGCAGGAACTACTCCACACAAAAGAGTACGCACCCAACAGTGAAGCAAACTAACTCCTCAAATCACAAAGGCCATTGTTTAATTGAAAGGATATATATATAATTTTTTTTTTGACACAAGGTTTGTGCAGCCCTGGCTGTACTATAACTCGCTCTGTAGACCAGGCTGGCCTCGTTCACCTGCCTCTGCCTCCTGAGTGCTGCAATTAGACGTGTATTAGCACCACCTGGCTCAAATTCCTAATTTTTTTTTTTCTCCGAGACAGGGTTTCTCTGTAGCTTTGGAGCCTGTCCTGGAACGAGCTCTTGTAGACCAGGCTAGTCTTGAACTCACAGAGATCCGCCTGCCTCTGCCTCCCGAGTGCTGGGATTAAAGGCGCGCGCCACCACCGCCCGGCTTCAAATTCCTAATTTTTTAAAAATTTATTTTTTATATGCATGTTCTATCTACATATATACACCACGTGTGCCTGGTGCCAGCAGAGGTCTAAGAGGGTGCTGGATTGATTACCTGGAACTGCAGTTAGGGACGGTTGTAAGGCACCAAGTGAGTACTGGGAACCTAACCCAGGTCCTCTGCAAGAGCAAGTGCTCTTAACCATCTCTCCAGTCTCAATTCTGAACTTGTTTTGAGTTTTTGAGACAAAGTTTCTCTGTGTAGCTTTGGAGCCTGTTCTGGAACTCACTGTGTAGACCAGGCTGGCCTCGAACTCAAAGAAACCTGCCTGCCTCCTGCCATCCAGCCCAATTCTTAATTTTAAAAAGAGTTAATCTGGGGGGCTGGAGAGATGGCTCAGGGGTTAAGAGCACTGGCTGCTCTCCCAGAGGACCCTGGTTCAATTCCTGGCACCCACATGGTGGTTTACAACCATCTGTGACTCCAGTCCTGGGGGATCTGACACATGGACACACACAGGCACATGCCAAAGCTGGTTATATTCCACTGTGTACGGCGTCCTGTGTTTTTCACACAGAGAAATCCAGCTTGCAGTTCCTGCGGACAGGTGTGCAGGAATGGAATTACTAGCTCACAGGGCTAATTTAAAGTTTCCTCTTCTTACTGTCAGGTGCTCTACACGCACAGGCTTGGTCTGCCTCTGCCTAGCCCAGAACTGCACACATTCAGAAGAGCGAAGTCCAGGCCTCTCTCTGCTGTGATAAGAGCCACAAATCTTTTCAAGCAACTTCGTAAACAAAATGCAGTTTATTTCTAAATTTTCACATTCTCATCAGCAGGGCATAATGGTCCCGATTTCTCTATACTCGACATCTATTTTAATAGTAGTGGTCCTACCGGGTGTGAGGTAGTATCTTGGTGTGATTGCATTTTCAACAGATTTTCTTACAGCTTTTGGTTCAGAGCAAAATTGAGAAAATGCAGCAACTTCTATACGAAGAATCAGCCCTTACACAGAGACACCCTGACACCTTCCCCTGAAGGCCCATTACGATCAATGAACCTTGTGAGCACATGGTCCCCCAAAGTCCTCTCTTACATTAGGGTTTACTCTTATTTCACATTTTACCAATTTGGACAGATGGCTCATGACCCGTACCACATCCAGTGTACCATACAAAGTGGCCTCATGACCTATACACTATAACCACCCTACCATGTGAACGTCACATATCTGTGTACCATGTATGTGCCTACTGCCTCTGGGACCAGAAGAGGGTATGAGATCCCCTGGAGCTGCTGTCAGAAGGTTCTGAGGCACCATGTGATGGAAGCAATCTCAAGCCCCCTGCAGGGGCAGTAGTGAGCGCTCTTACCCGCTGAGCCATCTCTGCAGCCTGCCACCTCAGCTTTACCTGTAGTCCCGGAACCCACAGAACCCAGGAACTCAGCCCTCTTCCACTGAACCACACTGCCAGGTTTTAACTTACTGATACCACTTTTTTGAGGACACTAGTATCATACAACGGGCATCACGAATGTCACCTTTCAGATTTGGCCCTTCCGTTCAGTAATATCCCTCTGCATCTGCTGTGACTCATTTTTTTTAAAAAGTACTAGATATTCCGTTGTATCATTTACCCTTTCATCTACTTTGTTGCTTCCAAGCTTTGACAATCACAAAGCTTGCCACTCACAGCCCTACTGGATTTGAGCCTACGTCTAATGCCCCTGGGGAAATATAAAGAGGCAAGATTGCCAAAAGACGCTGTATGTTTAGTTTTCTTAAATACTGATCGGCTGTCTGTCTTCCCAAGTGGCTGAGCCATCGTTTGTTCTCATGAACGATGCTGTCCTTGTCACTCCATTCCACCTGCATTTGTTGTTTTGGCTTCTGGAGTCGCAGCAGTGCAGAGGACATCTCACACACACATTGGCTGGTGGCTTTGTGGAGACAGGGTTTCACTATGTACTCCTGGTTAGCCTGGCACTTCCTGCACATGGCTTTCAGTTATCTTGCAATCAAATCAATTGTCTACTGTTTTATTTCTTATTCCATTTATTTTTCACGGTGTGTACAGTCCTGCATGGAGGCCACAGGACAACTTGCAGGAGCAGCTGCTTCCTTCCTCGCTGTGGTCCCAGGACAGTAGAAGAGTTTGTGTGGTTTTCATGTGTAGTTTCCCCATGATTAGGATATTTGCCCAAGCCTCTTGGTCTACGGCAGCCAATCACAACAAACGCTATTTTCAAGACGTTCTAAAAACAAACTTCATGTCTTTTAAAAAGCTCTCTCCACACTCAGGAAAGGCCCTCCCTTGTGTCAACTTGAGGGGGCAGCTGGCTGTGTGCACAGCCCTCAAGGGCAAGCTTGCTTTCTAGAGCAGCCAGCTGCCAGACCAGAAGGGAAGCCAGGGTAAGGATAGATACACTGGTCCAGCGGTCAGAGGAAAAGGACAAGCTCGCCCCCTAGTGACAAGTAGAGACAATAGAAGGAAAAAATATTACAAAGGCACAGGCAAACACAAAGACAAAAAAGAAAACTGCACAGCCACCATGATGAGTACATTCCATCCTGCCAGGATCTGGAGAACAGGAGCACAACAGATTAAAAAGTCAACTGAAACAGCTCATTCATCTGGACAGTTTAACAAGTTCAGTCCTGCCTGACACAGTGGGCTGAGGCAGGGCTGGGAGTTTTAAGGCCAGCACAGATAGCACAAAGGCCTGTTCAAAACAGAAGCAGCCAGACAGTTAATCCCAGCACAGGGAGGCAGAGGTAGGTGGATCTTTATGAGTTCAAGGCCAGCCTGGTCTATAAGGCAAGTACTGGGATAGCCAGGACTGTAATACAGAGAAACCCTGTCTCGAAACACTCTGCCCACACCCCCAAAAGGAAAAGGTTCTGTTCAGTGCTGTTTTGTGCTGTCCTGTCAGATCCCGAGCGGCAGCTGCTTCAGGAGTCATCTGTCTTCCCATGAGGAGCAGAAGCAGCTGAGGAGGGTAATTTTGAACTGCAAATGTCTTGTCTAGAGGAGGGGACGCTTAGGTTTTGTTTCCTAACCGCCAGGCATAGTATAACCACCTTCAACCTTCACTTGGCACACAGCTCCTGATCCCTATAAATCTGTCGAAAGGCCTGACTGGAAAGGCAAGAAGCCCACACCGTGGTTACATAAGGCAGAGGGCGGCAGTCGTGACTGCGGCTGTTCTTAGCTCCTCAAGACCTCTGTTATGCAAATTAGGACACTTTCTAATTTTCAAGCTCTTCTGACTGATTCTTTGAGGCCTGTGGCTGCTAAATTTCCCAGCTTCTCTTTGTTTCCCCAACCCCAAAAGGCTCCTCAGTTTGCCCCTATTTTTCAGAGGTCCAGTTTAGAAATTAAGGCCCCCATAACAGAATACCCACAAAGGATTATTTACTAAAGCACCCACTTCCAGCCCCTCCCAGCAGGTGACACTCTGGAGCAGATGGCACTGACTGACCTCCAAGGCTCCTCTGGTTTCATAGCAGAGGTGTCAGTGTCAAGCTGTCCCTTGCTTGGAAGGGAGGGTGGGCCACACATTACCCAAACGTTAAAGATTGGACGTTTTTCTGTTGTTCTTTGTGGAGCTGCTGGGCCCTATTTTTCAGCATTTCGGCCTTGGCCTCGTCCTTATCAACACCATCCCCCAGTTTATACATGCGGCTGGCATTGGCGCAGGCCCAGATGTGGCCCAGGTCACAGGCCTTCATTGAATATTTACATGCCAGAGCCATGTCCTTGGGAAAGCCAGGGGCACCCTGTAGAAACATGGCACTGAGGTTGAAGCAGCTGGCTGCATAGCCGCCATCACAGGCTCTAGTGTAGTAGTCCCTGGCCTTCCCCAGGTCAGGCTGGCCGTCCTCGTTGACCTGTCCGTCGTGTGCCAGGAGCCCAACATTGTGACAGGACTCCACAGACTTCTTCCCTGGCTTCTCACAGGCCTTCAGAAAGCAGGCAGACGCAGCCTTTAGGTCCTGACTCAGGCCACCTACAAACACAGAAAACAAAGGAAAGGTACGCTCAAGGGCTGGGCAGACAGCTCAGTGGTAGAGTTCTTGCCTACAATATCAGAGGGCATGGGTTCAATCCCCAGTACCACCCCGCACCCTAAACCAGGGCTGAACCTATTTGTGTCTGGCCAAGGTTAGGGAACCATCCCTGAGACAAGCCCTGGGAGCTAAAGTAAGATGGAGCAAGGGAGCCCTGGACTCTTTGGTTCACATGATCTCTTATGAGGAAGCCAAGTCAGGAAGAGACAAGTCAGCTCAGAGCACCAGAGACTACCACGTGGGGCTACAGTGAGAACACTGCATTTTTAAAATAAGCAACTGAATGTTTCTTAATCTAAATATACAGTTGGCCTCCATATTTATGAGCTCTGCATATGCAGATCCCATCAGTTATGAACACGATTACAGCATCCAACCCAGACACCAGCTGCAAATTTATCCGACCACGGACTGAAAATATTCAGGGAAAAATCATGTCTGTGCTAAAAATGTATGGACTTTCCCTGTCATTCCCAACACAGCACATGGGACAGCCATTACAGTAGTGTTTACACTGTATCAGGGGTAGCACAGCTAGAAACGATTTGAAGGGAAGGAAGTTGTGCGCAAGATCTGGAGTACCTAAAGGAAGACTCTGATCCTACAAAACTCCTGGAAATAATCTCCCAGGGCAGAAAACAACAACAACAACAAAAAGCTAAAGCTAAGGTGTGTGTGGTCTAACACCTTTCTTTAATCCCAGCACTTGGGAGGCAGAGGCAGGGGGATCTCAGTCAGTTCCAAGACAGTCAGAGCTACCTAATAGAGAGACCCTATTACAAACAAAACAAAACAAACTAAAAAAAAGACAGGAATGACTTGGAGCTGGGAATGGTGATCTATGCCTATAATGCTATATTACCCTAGCACTGAGGAAGTAGAGGCAGGAGAATCCAAAGTTTGAGATCACCTAAGCTACAAAATAAAGTTGTTTCAAAAAAAAAAGTAGCAATCAACCTTTTCTTATTTATTCACAGTATGGTGGTATGAAAGCAAATGCCCCCCCAAAAGGAGTGGCACTATTAGGAGGTGTGGCCTTGTTGGACAAAGTGTGTCACTGTGGAGGCTGACTTTATATAGATGCTCAAGTCACACCCAGGGAGACCACTTCCTGTTGCCTGCACAAGATGAAGAACTCTCGGCGACCTCTCCAGCACCATGACTGCCTGCACATAGCCATGTCCCATGATGATAATGGACTGGACCTCTGAGTTGTAAGCCACCTAATTAAATGTTTTCCTTCATAATAGTTGCTGTGGTCATGGTGTCCTTCACAGTCGCAGGGACTGTGGTATTGCTGTGATAGGCTGGACCACGTTTCTATTTGGAGTAATAAGGACTTCGTGAGTGTGGGTTAGCAAAGCAGTGGAATGCATTAAGTTCTGCTAATGGGCCATACTAGTAGGAGCAGGGAAGACAGTGGTGCTAGGAGTTATCTGATCCATGGGGTCCTGGCTCAAGAGGTTTCAAAGGAAAAGAATATGAATATGTAGCCTAGAGATAGTTCTTGTAATATTTTGGTGAAGATTTTGCCTGCTTTTTGACCCTGTCTGAAGAATCTGCCTGAGACAAAAGTGACAAGGTTAGGATTATTTCCGGTGGCAGAGGAAATCTTGAAAAAGCCTAGTATTGTTATTGGATGGTTATTACTGGTCACTCTTATAAAGGTTTATAATGAGAAGGAGCAGGCTGAGCATGGAAAAATATTTGAGAAAAGGAACATCAGAAAGTGGAATGAGGCCGGTAGTGGTGGCGCACGCCAGTAGGACTTGCTGAAGGAGGCAGAGGCAGGAGGATCACGAGTTCGAGGCCAGCCTGGGCTACACATTTAAAAAAAAAAAGAAAGTGGAATGAGTTGGGCAGTGGTGGCACATGCCTTTAATCCCAGCACTTGGGGGGCAGAGGCAGGAGGATCTCTGTGAGTTTGAGGCCAGACTGGTGCTAGGATAGGTCAAGCTCCAAAGCTACACAGAGAAGCCCTGTCTTGAAAAACAAACAAACAAACAAAAAAAGTGAAATGGAAGGAATTTTTCTGGCCAAGGAGATAAACGGATTAAGAAATGGAATAAAGGGAGTGGTGACCTCAGGACAAGATCCCGCCTAGCTAAATTTCCAACTTGTGAAAAGGATTAAAGAGAAGCTTAGAGCAGTTTGTAGTGACGCAGGCCTTTAATCCCAGCTCTGAGAAGAGAGAAGCTGGAAGATCTGAGTTTGAAGCCATCCTGGTCTTCAGATCCAGTTTCAGGACAGCCAACTTAGGTCGTGGAAGAAATGATCAAAACCAGAAAGTTGATGAAGATGTAACTGAATGAGCCATGTTCCAGCCCCAGCAGAACTTGGCAACTTGAGACACATGATTCTGGCTTTAGAGTTAAAGACAGAAGAAAGGGGCTATGGAATTCGCCTCTGTGTCTAAGGGAAGCCGCTGAGACCAGACATGTGTCAGGGGTGTCCCTGAATGAGAGGGCGTTTTGTGAAGCTGTCAAATTGAAGCTTGGATTGCGTTGGAGACCCCAGGATACTGGAGATGCCAGAGCCATGGGATACCTGCCAAGAAAAGCTGCTAACAGGAAGTGGAACCAGTCCAAGAGGAAGAAGGGTACTGCAGTCAACAAAATTGAAAGGGCCGGAGATCTGAAGAGCATTTTTTTTTTTGTTTTTTTTTTTTTGTTTGTTTTTCGAGACAGGGTTTCTCTGTGGTTTTGGAGCCTGTCCTGGACTGAAGAGCATTTTGACATGGCGATGCAGAGGTTGGAGTTTGCCCAGCAGGTTTTTGGTCTTTTCTGGTCCAGTGTTTCCTCACTATGCTTCCTTCCCTATGTTTGGGAATGGTGATGTATAACCCGTGCCATTATATGTTGGAAGTATGTGACCTGCTTTTTGATTCTGACTTACAAGGGATTACAGTTAAGAGATTGTGTGAATGTCAGAAGAGACTTTGAACTTCCTAAACTTATTTTCTGAGTGCAGGTGAGCACCTGCATGTATATATGTGTATCACATGCATGACTGGTACCTGCAGAGGCCAGAAGAGGCATCAAACCCCCTAGAATTGGAGTTATGAATAGCTGTAACTGCCATATAGGCGCTGGGAAAGAAAGGCAGGTCTCCTAGGAGAACAGCCAGTTCAATCACTAAGCCCTTGCTTCGGATTCTCTGTTGGGTTACTTACTCTGAAGAAAGCTAAAGGCAGATCATTAGGAGACTGGAGCACAGCAGGGGACATGGAGAGCTCACAGTCACTGGGATCAGAGTCCCCAGACAGCAGCTGACCGAGCCAAGGCCTTTACAGTCAGGCCAGGGAGTAAGTCAGCATCTAAAGGGCAACTTCAATCACACCTTCCAACTACTGCAGTACTACTCCCCTTGCCAGTGTTTTGATCAAGGCACCCAGCTAAACCAACCCCAAATTCCTAACCCATAGAAGCAAAGAGGGAACCTGGCAAAAACTTAGCATTACTTAAGATCTAATGCCAGCTGGGGTGTGAGAAGAAATATAAGGGCACAATTACTCAGTTCTTATTCTGTGCTCAGCACATCCTGACAGCTTTACTGTATTTTATTTTTAAATCTTATTTAGAGTATTCTGCCTGTGCATATGTATGTGCACCATGTGTGCACCTAGTGCTTGAGGTCAGAAGTTGAAGTCCCTGGAACTGGAGTTACAGATGGTTGTGAACCTGGGTCCTCTGCAAGAACAAGTGCTTAACAGCTGAGCCACCTCTACAGCCCACATGCTAATATTTTTACCTGAACTGCCCGGAGTAACTCCATTTTGTCCTAGATTATCTAACGACACCCCCAGCGCCACATCCTGCAGAGCAGAACGTTCTCATGCGGCTTCCGGAGGGCCATTGTCTTACAACATCAAACAAACTGTTCTAACAAACTGACCTCCTCACACAGGCACACAGACATCCTACCCCACCCACCCATGCCTCTGACGTGATGTGACTGTGTTTTGGATGTTAGAACCCCACCGTGCTTCAATTTAGGTGGAGTTCTTTCTGGTATGAGCCTGTTCTCAGTCAGTAGCAAATAAAAGATTCTTCATTGGCCTTGTATTCTCGGTGGTCTGTAATCTGCTCAAGTGTATGTTTCATACTGATACTCTCTATCTTTCACAATAAAACAGAGCTAGTTCCAGGACAGGCTCCAAAACTACAGAGAAACCCTGTCTCGGAAAAAAAAAAAAAAAAACAACAATGGAGCAAGAACTATTTCTTTTTCTTTTGAATTCTGAGCCAGGATCTCAATCTGTAACCCAACTACATTAAGTCCAGGCTCTGTAAACCCCAGTTTACAGGTGCTAAAACTGGAACACAGAGTTAAAAGTGACTAGCTAAGGTTGTCATGCCTAATTGTCAGGGGTCATGCAAGGGAACCAACAGGCAGCATGGAAGGAACCCATGGAACAATGGCTGGGCAGGCAGCAAAGTCATGTCCGAGTGAGCCTTCAAGCGGGAGAGCCGCAGGGACTACATGTCCTATTGAGCACAGCTCTGCTCACTGCCCATCATAATCTATGGGTTACATGAAAACTCTCCGGGTTTCTAGCCCCTCACTGGGCAGTGTTACTGGTACTTAAAAATAACAGTGATTGACTTTTTCCAAGCACTGCTGCTGGAACAGATTGACAACTCAACCACCATTCTGAGAAAGACTCTAGACATATGGATTGCTGGTAATATTAAGTTAAGATGTTTTTGTTAATGGCTTTGAGATAGAAAATCTTGGGGGACAATTTATAAAGTTTAGAAAGACACACTTTAAATAGTTGAATAAGGGACTCACTGATGTCAGGGAACAAAAACAATTGCAGCCTGGCCACTGCTGGCTGACGTACCTTTCTTGCGACAATAGTCTGATGATCAAAGACAATGATTAATTACTTGTAACCATTTCTGCTCTCAACTTCCTGATAGGATTTAATAAAAAACACTGTTGATGAGTGGTTATGCACCCTAAGGACTTAAAGTAGAAATGACTGATTGTTTTTCATATATGGAAGTTTAGATGTGTGATTCTTTTCAGATTTTTATAAGATTATCTTTTGAGATAATTAAATAACTGATTTTTTTATTTTTGTTTTTTGGTAACTGCAAAATGCAGCCTGCTGGTAAAAGAATTAGCTGAGTAAGGTACTGTTGGGAATATTATTTTAAGGTGTGTTACTTTTGTTTATGTTGCATTTGTTTAACTCCATGAAGCTGTGATACTTTTTCTGTCTAGAAAACCTGATATTCAAATAAAGATCTGAATGGCTGATAGCAAGGCAGGAGAAAGGATAGGCGGGCTGGCAGGCAGAGAGAATACAGAAGGAGAGCACTGGGAGAAGGGATTTGGAGTAGTAGCCCAAGAAGGAGAAGGACTTCAGGGGCCAGGCACCCAGCTACACAGCAATCCACAGAGTAAGATTTAAGCTTGGTGATGGTAGTGGTGGCACACACCTTTAATCCCAGCACTTGAGAGGCACAGGCAAGTGGATCTCTGTGAGTTCAGGGCCAGCCTGGTCTATAAGAGCTAGTTCCGGGACAGCCAGGGCTGTTACAAAAAGAAACACTGTCTGGGGTGGGGGTGGGGGGGTAAGATTTAAAGAAATAAGTGAATAGTAGAAACACAGAGGCCAAAGGGTAGATGGGATAATATAAGCTAAGAAACGCAGGCAAGAAACCAGCCAAGCTAAGGCCAGATGTTTATAAGTAAGATCCACTTTGGAGCTGGGTGGTGAGCCCCTAAAAGAGTCCAAATAGCATAACATCATATTACTACAAAGTATCTTGCTTATTCACACTTTGTGAATCTATAACAAGTTGCTTGGATATGAATGTATGCGGGTTCTTAGAGATAACTTGTTTTCACCTATAATATATAAAATGTTTACGTAAGGGAAATGGAAAACATGATGTCTTTTATTTGTATTCATTGTAATCATTCTCTTAAAAAATAGAATATAACTATATTGTAATTTTTATATTGCTTGAAAGATTTTTTTGGGGGTATATACACGCTGTAAGGGAAAAAATAAAGAGACACAGAAGGGAAACATCAGGGTAGAAGGACAGAAAAAGAATAGAGGAGAACAAGCAACAGAAAGAATAATAAAAGGAAGAACTAATCTTTGGTCCGCAGAAAAAGTCCTCGAGTGTCTGTTTGTCTGTCCAGCAGTTTGCCTGCTCTGCATTTCCTCTTCAGTTTTTCTGACCTGCTGAGGGCCTGCTATTCATCAGCACCCTAGTGAGATGCTGACATACTGGAGGGTGTGTGTGTGTGTGTGTGTGTGTGTGTGTGTGTGTGTGTGTGTGTGTGAGAGAGAGAGAGAGAGAGAGAGAGAGAGAGAGAGAGAGAGAGA